GGCAGGTGGTGCAGCCAAGAGATTTATATTATTTAACAATAAAAGCAAAACAAGTGTGACCTTCCACCCTGCTGCCTGCCTGCCTGCCTGCCTGCATGAGGCCCTTGTACCAAGGGGAACAAGGAGGTGGAGAGCATGGCTGGAATGATCATTACCTGGCAGAACAAGATACCAGCTGGAAAGAAGGAGGGCAGGAGGGAGAGGTGCTGGACCACCGTTCCTGAACCTCAGGGCTGAGGTTAGGCTACAGGGATGGAGAGATGATGGGTTGGAATAGAAGGAAGGAAAAAGGGGATGGAATTTCTCAGAAGTGAAACACAACTCATTTTCCGGAACAAACTCTATGAGGAAAGAGTCTCTAACCCCCGCCTTGGGTGGGGAGTGGAGTGGTGGAGTGCCAGACCCCAGTCCAGAGAGAGAGACAGACAGACAGACAGACTCTTTCCAATACTATTCCTTGGCTCTGGTTATGGATCTGACCTAAATGATAGCATAACAACTTGGGCACGCGCGCACACACACACACACACACACACACACACACACACACACACACAATTTTGCTTTCATTTGCATATCTGGGGAGAATTTTGTTATTGTTGTTGTTGTTATTCTGGGGATTCAACTCAGTGTTTCACCACTTGAGCCACACCCTTAGTCCTTTTGCTTTACGTTTATGAGACAGGACCTAATTTCTTTTGCCTTGGTTTCAAATTGTAACCTTCCTATTTCTGCCTCTGGAGTAGCTAGGATGACGGTGGTGGTGGTGATGATGATGACAATGATGATGACTTTGTGTGTTGGTACTAGGGCTGGACCTTGGGCCTCCCCATCTTACTTGGCTTTAATCCACTTATGGCTGGTACTATACCCCTTGAGCCACAACTCCATTTCTGGTGGGGGGGTGGGGATTGCTGGTTAATTAGAGTCCCAGAGAATATTTCTGCCTGGGATAAATTCAAATCTTGATGCTCAGACCTCAGCCTCCAGAGTAGGCAGGAGTATAGGCACCAACGCCTGGCTGCTATTAACTTTTATATTTGAGTTATTTTGCATCATGTGCTCTGGGTTAAACCTATCTCATTTATGCCTGAAATCACCTTCTCTCCTACATTCTACCCACCACCCACTTGGTAAACTTCTAAACTATCTCCACAGACCGATTGACTTGGGACATTTTTTTTCCCATCCTTACTTCCTCTCAAGCACTTTTACCCCTGACAAAACTCATCGCTTTTCAAGGGTACAGAATCTGGTGGCCATCTGCCATTTTCCCATTCCATGGCCCTGGGTTTCAGCTACTGCCATGTCACTACAAAGTACCTTCTCAGATCCAGAACTCCCCCGCTGGAAATGCAGACAGGGTCTACATATTTGGGACATGGCAGCAGCAGAGAGAGCCTGGCAAAGCCTTTCGTGCTGAAACACATCCAGAAAGAGAAGCAAGTGTGATGCCTTGCCCTGGGTATCATTATGTGACCTTCGGATAAAGTCACACAGGGCTGAAATGTCTGTATTGTTCTTCACTTGGCAATGAATTATTACAGGGAGGGATGAACATTTTTTATTTCTCAAATAGCATGAACTTGGAAAAGGGTTTTTTACTGCCCCCCCTGAATCTGAAGAAATGGACCCATCCAAGAAATACCACCCCTCCCAACCCTACCCCCACCAAAAGAAGCCATTTGCCCACCCTCAGAAGAAAAAGGTCTAGATGTGGGTAGATTGACTAAGCCAGAGTGGTTTGGGGGACAGAGGATCACTACTTTCTAGTTCTGTAAACTCTGCCACATCATTAAAACCCTCCCAAGACTCAGTTTCCCCATGTGTGAGATGGAGGTCACAGTCTTCCATGTAGAAGAATAGAGAGGAATAATGTATGGGCACATGTCTTACAGGGACTGTCACGCGGCTGACCCTCAATCAATAGCTGCCAGTTCTATTGCTGAGTTCTGGAAAACCTTTCCTTCCAAGAGCATCATATAAAATTTTAAAAGAGTCTAGAAAGTAGAGAACAAATAGAAATTCATTCCTGTGATATTAAGCCTGAGAGGTAGAAGGCCACAAGTAAGTAAATATGGGTCTCCAAAGAAACTATAACTCACCCAGAGAGCACACATGTCTATTTACAAAGGCCATTTAATAATGCGTGGAGTTCTGCAAAATCCCCTGCCTGATACTAACTCAAGTTTCCATAGCAGAAAATTTCTATGGAAACTTGACTTAGTACCATGATGTGGACAACAGAAATAGCCATAAGGCCTTAGTAGGCTGCAAGTCCTTCTCTATCAGTTGTTTCCAAACAAACAAAGAACAGCAAGCCCCTTGCATTTCAGAGAAATAGTTGTCCAACTATTTTCCTCTTTCTCCACCCTGGCTTAGTCACAGCTGCTGCTTGAGTGATGGAATCTCTACTTTTCCTTCACTTCCTGTTTACTCACAACCTATCGACCCCAGCCTTCGTCTCCTCCCCTGCATTGTAGCTCTTTTCATCATGGTCAGCGAGCTTCTTTTCATTCAGCATGGCCAGGTCCTGAGTGGCTCCCTCAGATCCTCTGACAGGAAAAATTCTAAGAATGATCTCCAAGGAGCCCAGTCTAAGTCCTCCGAGATGTGACTTTCTTGATCTATGTTATGATAGGTTGAATTAAATCCCCCTACAATCATGTGTGGAAATCCTTACAACCTTGTGTTTCAGAATGTGATCCTTACTTACAAATAAGGTTGTTTTAGGTATAGTTAATTATGATGAGATCATTTAGGTGTACCCAGATCCAGAAAGACTGGTGTCCTTGGAAAACAAGGTAATTTGGGCAGAGGCACCACTTAGTGGCAAAAGGGATGTAAATGTAGAGAGAACTACCTATGTACAAGCCAAGAGAGAAGCATGGAATAAACCTTGAGCTCTCAGCCCTCAAAAGGAAATGGCTCTGCCCACACCTTTCTTTCACACTTCTAAGCCTCACAAGTGTGAGGTAATAAACATGTTGTTGAAGCTTCTTAATTTGTTATGGAGGCCCCAGCAAACTAATGCATATGGAAAAGGATGATTATCCAGGCAGGCCCCACTTATTGTTCTGAGCCCTTTTAAAGAACAGCATTTTCTCCAGCTGAGAGCAAGAGTCAGGGCTAAAGCTGCAGTTAGATTGCATGCACCAATCCAACTGCAGATGGAGGAGGCCATGTAACCAGGAATGAGTAACAAGGGATGTAGGCAACCTTTACATGCTAGAGTGACCTTTGGCTGACAGCAACAGAAGAAATGGGAACTTCAGTCCCATAGCTCCTAGGAACTGAATTTGCCAACAATAGCATGAACTTGGAAAAGGGTTTTTTACAGCACCCCCCGTCCCTGCCCCCACTGAATCTGGAGAAATGGACCCATCCAACTAACTCCTTAATTTTAGACTCTCTGCAGAGGATAGCAAACCTGACTACTTTTCCAACTGATACAACTGAGCTAAGAAATGAGGGTTGTTTTAAGTCACTAAGTGTGTAGTATTTTGGGACAATAGGAATAGATTCACAAAGACTCCAATCTTTGGGTCCCTCTTGGTGGTGTGTGGCCGGAGCAGGGAGGGAGGGTTTCCTGATAGCACAGTGTGAATTCTGGGTTGTTAGTCATGGAATGCAAGACCTTGACTTAAGTTTTTTCTCTGTTCCATATTGCTTCTAAGTCACCCACTGGTCAGATAGGTCTCATTTCAACAATTATATCAATGCTAGGCAAAGTCAAGAACAAAGGATGGGAGTTTGGCCCCAAGAGAAAGAAGACAGGATCAATAGGAGATACAATTGAAAGCTAGATGAGATGTTTCATGGACTTGTCTTTTAACCTCGGGACAAGGGCTTGCCCAAGATAACCAAGCTCCCCTCTGGTCTTTATAGCTACTGCAGGAAATGCTTTCCTTCCACACGTGCCTCCATGATGTCTTTAATTTCCTCGCATGGAGGCTTTTTCACCGTGGATGTGACAGGGAGGTAAGCGTGTTCTAGTCAATGGTTCATGAGATGAATATTTCTCATGGGTAAATATTGGCAGCTAACAAGAAGACATCAAAAGTAGCCAAACTTATTCAGATAAACAAACAATACAGGTGGCACACGTGGTAGAGAAAGCAGCAGAGACATATAAGAAAAATAACCAAAACTGAGTACTACACTTCAGAAGATGGCTCTGGCAAAGTGCTCTCTCCTCCTCTCCCCCTCCTCTCTCTCCTTCTTTCTCTCTCTCCCCTCCCCACAAGGAGCAGCCCAGGTCAGTCAGCTGTCAGAATACTCATCTGAAAATTCTATAGGGCAAGTCAGTGTGACTTGTATTCTGAATATCCCAACGTTTGGATGTAATTTTCAGAAGAAACAGATTCTTTATTATTATTCAATTCAACATGCCAGTTTGTAAGTACAATGCATTGTGATCAACACCAACCCTTCCATTGTTCTCTCCCATCTCCCCCAACCCCACTCCCATCTCCTCAATTTACCTGGATCTACTTGCACATCTGTACCTTGAGTACTTGCTTTCAAAATTACTTCTTCCCCAAACTCCAGACTTAGCTCTTCTCCACAAGTCTACGGGGCACCGCAAATTCAATGTCCCAAATGAGCCATCTCCCCTCTCTCTCCCACCATGGTACCACCATCTCTCAGAGTAAATCAGGTAGCCTTGAGTTTGAAAGCTCAGCCCTGCCCCTTACTGGCCCACTGAAGTCTGCATCTTTCTTTCCCAATCTGCAAAGTGGTTTCTTCTTCAAGGAAGAATGCGAAAACAATAGAAAAATCGACAAAGCATGTATGTCAGCAACTGTCTATTGAAAACATGAAATCAAAACATGAATTCAAATAGTGTTATTGTTATTATATTCTATAATAATCATTTTCTAATGTGTAAAAATGATTAACTGAAGCAGTCACCAGACCTACTTTAATTCACTTTTTATGTGTGCATGCTTCTCCTTGGGCTTGACTCAGACTTCGTCTCTTGTTTAGTTTCTTTTTGTTTTTTTGCTCAAGGCTGTCAGCCTCTACCACTTGAGCCACAGATCCATTTCTGGCTTTTGTTGATTATTAGGAGATAAGAGTTTCTTGGATTTGTCCACCTAGGTTGACTTCAAACAGTGGTCCTCAGATCTCAGCCATGTGTGTAGCTAGGATTACAGCTGTACAAACCTACCACCTGGCTCTATTTCAACTCTTAAGAGATCATAATACAATATCAAAATTTGTCTGATGCTGTCTCCTGCCTATAGTACTAAGAACCAGACATACCCATATGCCCTCTGCCCCCTGTGTTTCTGTGATTGGGCTGTTCATTTACCTAAATGGCTTATATTTATTTTCCCCTAAATCACATGAGTTTTCCAACATCAAGTCACCTGTGAAAGTTTCCTCTATTCTCAACTAGAAGTAATCTCACCTCTAACTGAACTCCTATTATAATATACATAGGGAACATGATGTTTGGCAAGAATGTTCAAAGATACTCCTCCTTCCTGACCATTAGACTTAAGCCTATTGAAGTCAAGTGCTAGATCTAATTCTCCTTCATTTTCTCTTATTGACAGTCAAATTCCTTTGGCCTAGAAAGAATCTATCAACATGATTTGAATGACTGACTAAATGAATGCAAGATTTTCCATGCATCCTATGAAGGTATAGGCAAGGTATATGCAGCCTTGGTAGCCTAGTTCAGAAGCTTCAGTGTCTTCTATCTACATCTATCCAGGACTTAATAAATCAATCCCCTATTTTAAAATAGCATTTTGTCCATATAAGTTCACTATGAGTCTAAAAATCTTTTAAGAATTAGAAAAGAGAAGAATTGAGCAGAGGGATAAAGCCCATGCAATTTCCAGAATGTTCCTGAATGAATATGAACTCAATGAATATGCCCAGAACATGGGAAGAAATACACACATGAAATAAAATTGACTCCCTAAAATTACAATCCATCTTTACAAATGAATACAACCTTCAGCTGCTTGGTCAAGGTTGGTGGATTAGGATTTCTATCTTTGGTGCTCTAAATGGGTTAGTGGAGAATTGTTTCCACCACAGTGCATCTATTTCTCTGAATACAAGAGATCTGGGGCAGAGGTATGAAAGCTTTTAAACAGGTTGCATGTGAGCTGAGCAGGTGTATCATTCATCTTAGGGTTCCAAGGTGGATCCTAGGTGGTACCATTGTTGTTTAGCTACAAATCTAAGGAAACAAGATGAAAAAGGGCCAATTGTATGGGAAAGAAGAATAATGGGATTTGGGGTGCTCACTTTGCTCCTAGATATCTTAGTTTATGAAGTCACTCTTTGAGTTTCATTTTTCTTCTATCTATAAAAAGAAGAGGTTTAGGCTAGATTAGCAGAACCACTTAGCAATGGTAGTGTCAGAAGATTAATTCTAAAAATACTAATACTCAGGGTTCACTCTCGGTCAGACATCAATGACTTCCAAATTGAAAATCACTGAGTAAGATAATCATCCTGTGATCATCCCTTTTATTTCTAACAATCTTTATTTCTATAGGAGACTCTATTTCTAGAAACAAGGAAGCTCCCTTTATTATCACATAGGATAATCCGAGAGAAGAATCATCCAGTGAAATCAATCATAATTGTGATTGATAAATGATATTTGAGACATACAAAAAACACCGGTCATGTTTTTGGCTCACAATTGTCTATAAACCCATGTTTTCTGATGCATCTGCAATATACAATGTCCACGCTTCTACACTTGGCCATCCCAACTTCTGAATTAATAAAGGGCTTAGGCAAGAGACTGAGACTGCAGTCAACAGCAACAAATGGAAGTCTCTTTATATGGTTGAGCAGCTCCTCCTGCCAAAAGCAGATTGGGTGACAATCTGCATGGACTCTTTTCTATACATTTCTCCTTTTCAAGTCCAGATTCTTCCAGCAATATCATAACAATTTTACTTCCCTTTTAGTATAAGTTTATCATATTAACTACTAACTTTTGGGGGAAATGGTGGGATTTGTATCTCCATTAAAAATAAGACAGCTGAGAAGCTAACAATAACTAGCACATACTAGGTGTTTGATGAAAAATTACTTAAGTAAGGCTATGCTTAGGATTAGCCTGAAGGTGAGGAGGAAAGCTGAGGATAGAATTAGGGAATAAGACTGGTTGTGATAGTTCCCTTTATGTTTTAACTTGACTGGACTGTAGAGTACCTAGATATTTGGACAAATATTTTTTCAGGTTATTTCTGTGAAGCTAGTTTTGGATAAGGTTAACATTTAAATGACAGACTGAATGAAGTAGAGTAAGTTCCCTAATGTTGACAGTCCTTATCCAATTAGTTAAAAACCTAAAAATAGGACTAAAGGGCTTCTCCCAACTAAAGAAGAATATTTTTTTTTGCCTAATCATTTTTGAATGGAAACATTGCCTTTCCTGGATCGGAAGCTTTTCAGCCTTGGGATAGAAAGTATTTCAGCAGTTCTCTTAGGTCTTTAGCTTTGCAGATCATTCTGAATATCTAGAAACTTCCAAAATCACATGAGATAATCTCTCTCTCCCATTTGTATTTGCTGGGTCTGTTCCTTCAAGCAACTCTGACTAATAAAGTTAGAATAGAGTTGGAAATAGTGTTAAGAGTTATAGCTTGTTGTAAGATTGGGCTAGATTTGGGGTACAGAAGGGAAGTAGAACTAAAGATAGAATTGTGGTTGGTTTGGGCCTAGGATTTTGCTCACGTGAGGGGGACAGTAGGGAAGGAGCCAAAAGCTCTGAACCTATTCCTATTGTTGATGTGATCCTGTAACCAGATGACAGACCTGGTTATGGGCAGACCAAGTATTATTTTTGCCTTATTTACATAAAATAACAGCAATCATTATTCCATTCCCTTATTTAATCTTTTAAAAGGATAATTACTATTGCCTTATTTAATCATAGACTTTCCTGCCTGGGCTGGCTTTGAACCACGATCCTCAGATTTTAGCCTTCTGAGTAGCTAGGATTACATGCGTGAGCCACTGGCACCCAGCTCATATATAATTTTTTTAAGCAAAATCAGAATGAGATTAAAAAAAGGGGCTCAATGTGTCCAAACTCTTAAGAAGAAGACTTGATGCTTGAACTCTGGTCATTTTATGACACAGTACTGAAGCAGAGAACTGGTTACAGACCCCAGGGGACAAATCACTCCCAGGGCTCAGGAAATGCCCTGGCAGTGGAGAAGTTGAAAAGGAAGATATACCATTGGCACTCATGAGTTCTGTGGGTTTGAGTTCAGCTCCCTTTCAAATATACTACTTGCCTTCGGAAGGAGCCTCTGTCTTCCCTGGTCCAAACAGTCTCTATCCTTTCTGTCTACCTTCTGCTCTGTGACATCAGCAATGTTATTTCCTTCCTTCAGCCCAGCTCCTTTGGGACCAACCTAAAGATGCAATATATATATATATATATATATATATATATATACATATATATATATATATATATATATATCTCCCCTCTTTCAAAAGCCTCTTTCCAGAGACACATAAAAGCTGGATTCATTAGATATCAGTTCCCAAGTAGAAGCCTGTATTAAAGAGGCTTCTATCGATCTTTTCAACAAAGCTGGGAAAATACTTCACTTCCTCTGGGATTTCTGTCCCCTCGTGTAGTCAGGCTGGCTTTTCCTCCCAGCTTTGCTTTGCCAACCAGCTGGGCACCCTTCTTTTTCTACCCCCTATGGTTTGCTTCATCACAAACACACTTCGAATTTGAACAGTTCTTTTATCAGCAGATCTGTAGGTCTCACGGGGGAAATGACAGGTTGTGCGATTCCTACTTCCTCGCTGGAGCAAAAGGAAAGTGTGCTAACTTACATCAAGTGCATTTAGAGAAAGCCACATCAGCTCTGATCCGGAAGCACGGCCTCTGTGGGCTAGGAACACTTCTGCCTGCAGTGGAACCCCAGAGGTGACTGCACCTTGCCCTGAACCAAATCCTCTCCTCTCTGGTGCTTTTAAGAATAATTTTCTCGGGCTGGGAAGGTGGCTCAGTGGTAGAGCGCATGCCTTGCATGCATGAGGCCCTGGGTTCGATTCCTCAGCACCACATAAGCAAAAAGAAAAAAGCCAGAAGTGGCGCTGTGGCTCAAGTGGTAGAGCTAGCCTTGAGCTGAAGAGCTGAGGGACAGCGCCCAGGCCCAGAGTTCAGGCCCCATGACCGGACCCAAAAAAAAAAAAAAAAAAGAATAATTTTCTCTTCCAAGATTGACTTTCCTTCTGAAATTGTCAGGCATTCTGAGGTCCCGCCAAAAGTATCAGACTTGGAAGTTGGACATATTGGTTATTGTTGAAGCTTCCAGTTTTCTGGCAGGACTTTGCACTTTTCTGGGTCTCAGGTCTGTGATGGGATTCAGGATACATGATCCCAAGATACAGTGCCTGCCTTGGTGTAGTGAATATTTTGTGCTGAAGGCATTGGAGAAAACTTAGCTATTATCACCTTCTTCTGAAGGACAGATGGAGTCTCTATCCCCAAGGAAAGGAACCTCCTTGTCTGCAAAGGGACATGAGCATGCCTCACTACCATCCTCAATGTCAACACCTGAAATACTGGTTCTAACTGGTGCCATCTTGGCATCTTGATAGGGACTTTCCAAAAACTCCTACAGGTGAAATTCACTCTCCATCCCTCCCTCCAGGTGTAAGAGCACCTGAATTCCTAGAAGCAGATGGGACAGGGACTTGCACAATAGGTGGCTGCACCTGCCAGATCTACACCATGAACTCGTGACACTCTGAACTCTCAAGCCCCCTGTGACCCTGCCCCCCGACCTCGATCCTACGATGCCCCTCCACCTCTGCCGCCATTGCCCCATGCCTCCTGCTTCCTGACTCCCCTCAGGTCACTGACGTCCCTCTTCAACTCTCCAGTAGAATTGATCTGGTTTGTTGAGACTGTTTTTCTGCTCTTCACTCTACTGCACTCTTGGTTCACTTTCCTAACAGTATTAAGTGAATCAGAGGCTGCAAGATTGTGGAGGACGTGAGTCTTCCAGCAGTCACCAGCATTCTAACACAGAGTCACGATTTGATCTCTCAAAATGTAGCCTCTGGGTGCCTCCCAATGGAATTCCCATATAACACACCTATCTCTTACTCCCTGGCCGATATCACCTTACTCCATGGATAACCACACTTCATCATCCACAGGAAAACAAAACAACACTTTAGGTCTTCATTTCTTTATGAAGACGCGAGAGTCACATGTGACTTAGATCATATGAACAAATACAGTCTTCCCGGGATTACTTTTGTTAAAGGGGCTCCAGCCATGAACTTGGAAGAGTAGAAGGAACGGGGAATTTTCTTCTCTACCTGTGTGATTCATAGATGGCAGGGTCCTTCAAGTGCCAGTTCCTAGCTTCAGGTAGGAATAAAATTATAAACCCACAGGTTTATAAGAAAAATAAGAAGTATCTAGAACAACAGCAGATGTGAGATGTGTAGGGGGACCCCACACTGAGGATACCCAGTGCTAGGAAGAACACCCAAATCCTACCTCCAAGGGCTTTCCAGTTTGTTCTGATTTTCCCTCTGTTTCCACTCTGGCCTGGCCTTTGCAGAGACATTGAACTTGAAGTAAGTAAATGAGCTGTTCAGGGAAATGAGATGTAGCAGAGAGGCCCTTGTGCTCCCCAGGAGGATTCATTTGTTCCTCGAGGCAGGTAATGCTGCCTTCCTGGCTGCCCGTGACCACTGATGAGCACACGTCACTTCTTGGAACAGCCCAGGAAGTGCCACTTCTGGAGCTGCCAGGAATCAGGTGGCCAGGCCACTCATGTGGTACGTATTTATAACGTCTTGGGGCCTTGACAATGGGCCAAATGTTACATTCACTGCTAATTTTCTATTAATTAGGCGCTGCAGTTCCTCAGCGAAATGAATAACCAGCCAGACAGGAGCCCTGAAGTTCAAAAATGGCACAATACTAGGTTGCAAATAGAAGCTGGGTGGAGGAGGAGGAGCTGAGTTAAGAGGGGGAAATGTGAGGGGAAGGGGTTGCTTCAGGAATAACAAAATTGTTATTCATCGACCTTAGAAAGCCTTTATTAGACTACTGCAAGTATCTTGAACACTTACTGACCCCTCACTGTAAGAAGAGGCTGAAGGATTATGGGAACTCTAGTCACAGCAGGCAACAGGGTCCCGCTGGTCTCCCAGACAATATTTCTCCAGCCATGGCCTCAGGACAATTGTGCCAGTATCATCTGTTCAATCTCTGGACCCTGAATGTCTGGTACTCCTCCCTCATCTCACTTGGATACTGAAATTTGGGAAACTGCCTCAGGACAACCTTAAGAGATCAAAGGACCACAGCTAAAATTTAGAAATACTACTCTTTTTAATATATTAGGGTAGGGGGGCAGACGGTACTGGGAATTGAACCTAAAGCCTAACACCTAAGAAGCAAGTGTTCTACCACTTGAGCCATGCCCCTAGCCTTCTGTTATTATTCTGCTTTTGAGACCACTTTTGTATATTAGCTTCACATTCAAGATCCTCTCCTGCCTCTGCCTCCCAGGTATGAGGAATTATAATATGTACCATCATGCTTGGCCTCTAGAAATCTTAACTAGTTGCCAAGTCTTCCGAGTACTTCCTCTTTTCTCATCTTTATGACATAGTAAGAGAAAGAGGCTCTGTTTAACTACAGATGAGACAACTGAGACCCAAGAAATAAATGCTTGAGTAAACCAAAGATCTAGGAACTGAAAGAAACAGGACTGGCCTCATTCTTGGCAGAGTAGATATTGGTCTATTTATGAGTCATCTTCTTTCAGCCCAATTAAACCACTGTAATAACCTTCTTTGGAAACTTGAGTCTCTAGTTCAGGCTAGTCCCCAGAAAGCTGGACCAGTCCAGATGAGTCAAGGATGGGAGAAAAAGAACAACCAATGGTCCAACTTGTCCCCAACAGCATTTCAGGCTGTTAAGAACACAGAATTGACATCAAGTTGCCTCTTTCTAAATCTACACTCTGTGTTCTGTTTTGGTAATTTTGGTGTGTCAGTTGTACAATGATAACGAGAGTAGTAGCCACAGAACAATTGTAAGAAAGGTAGAGGTTCTCATTGTAGTACTGGGTGGACCTGCGATCAATCGCAGACACTGTACTTCTCTTATGGAGTTGAAGCACATCTAATGAGTCAAACACGGGTGATTCAAACACCACCAACTCAGGATGCCTCATTCTGCTGAACCTCAAAGTAATACCTGAATCATCAGCCCAGATACTTTGTTTTTCCTCTAGGGGTGTTTCGAATTACAGAGACTGATTCCTTGATAAATGCTTTATAGGACATTTCCTCTAGCAATATGAATGTCCTGCCATAAATAATTCAACTAAACTGGTTACTGAAAGAAATGATCAAAACCCACAGTGGGAGGATGATACGAACTTAAATATTTTGCTTTGTTCTGACAGTGTGTTCAGATACTTCCTGGTCTCCTCTGGAGAGACAAAAGGGTGATGAAGGAGTACAGTCCCTGCTATTGAAGTTTTGCATGGAAGATGTAAACGGGCAAGGCAGACTGGGAACCAAGGCTGAACATAAATTCAACAGAAACCTTGATATTAGCAAAGGAAGACTTGAAATAAACTTTTCTGAAGGACGCCCCCTACAGGCCTTATCTTGCAACAACATAGAAACCAAACAACTGGCTGCTTTACAAAAATGGAGAAGAGAAAATGAAGGAGAAAGGAACCCCCAAACAGAGACGGGAACTTCCTGCATATGACCCCTGGAGAGGCCTCATACTTAGCTTCAAAGAGGAGCCTTGAGATCATTCAAGAATCTCCAAGGGGGGCTGGGAAGGTGGCTCAGGGATAGAGCACTTGCCTTGCATGCATGAGGCCTTGGGTTCAATTCCTCAGCACCACATAAGCAGAAAAAGCTGGAAGTGGTGCCGTGGCTCAAGTGGTAGAGCACTAACCTTGAGGTGAAGAGCTCAAGGACAGTTCTCAGGCCCAGAGTTCAGGCCCCACGACCAAAAAAAAAAAAAAAAAAGAATCTCCAAGGGATATACAAATCTCCACCTATATCAATATCTATCACCTTTCCTGAAAGTCACTTACCATGGTCTAGCTCAAGGCAAAACTTGCACATAAGCTTGTTTATGTATTGATGCCCCTAGGGGGAAAAGCATTTTCTTAAGCATAAAGCCTTCCTTCAGCTGCTAGAATCCCATATTTACCCATTACAATACAGTATACCCATGCTAATAGACCTAATTTATTGCTCTGATAAAGTGGGTGTGAAAGGCTCTTAAGAATAAACACAAAGCCAGGTGCAGGTGGCTCACATCTGTAATCCAAGGTGTTCAGAAGGCTGAGATCTGAGGATCCCAATTGGAAACCAGCCCAGCCAGAAAGTCTGTGAGACTCTTATCTCTAGTTAACCACTAAAACGTTGTGACCCAAGTGTAGAGCACTAGCCTTGAGTGAAAAAGCTAAGGGAGAACACAACCAGGCCCTGAGTTCAAGCCCAAGTACTGGTACAAAAATATGTAAATAGATGAACACAATTTATTACTTGCTGTAATGGCAAATAACTCTCCCCCTGCAGAGGTAGGGAGCAATCAAGAGATCTTGGCAAACATATTAAATGTTTGCAAGCAAGAATCAGCCATAACTAAGGCTTCTGTGCTTAAAAGAATTAGTTCGTCTTTGTTGGTCTTTACTCCTACTTATCAAAATTTTCGCTTTTCTATTGACTTCCTAATTCCAATATAGGGGCATACTCAAGCCTACTGGAAGAATCATAGATCATTACAAATTCTACATTGATAAAGACCTGGTATTCCAAAGACAAAGCTACTGGAAATTCCCAAATAATAGGCAAGGAGAGCAACTGCTTGGGAGCAGGTTTTTTGTGTGTGTTTTTCTTTTTTCTTTGTTTGTTTTTGTTTTTTGCTTCATGCTTGGGAATTTGAGTAGAGGGATTGTGTTTTGTTTGGAAGATGACCCCTTTGTAACAAGGTTCAGGGATATTTTCTTCTCCATATCTTTCTTGAGGAGGACTGAGCAGTGTTTCAGGACATCAGATCCCATAGTAATGATGCTGGGGCTTAGATACCAAGGGCTGTATCCAGATCCTTTGTAATCAGTACAATGACTGATCAGTCTACATATCTTGAGAACTCCAATACTTCTTAAGAATTCAAGGGCAAACTGAAGATAATCTACTCCTCCAAAGTCCTAGTGCCTCTAGCATTGTGCTGGGCATGTGGGCCACAGTGGAAATTAACAATCAGAACCACATTAAAATGCAAAGTCTTAGCTAGTTGGTTTGTCGAGTCATATATTCTTTTCTAAAAAAACACAAAAGGGAAGAAAAAAGTAGGGAAGGGAAGGGAAGGGAAGGGAAGGGAGGGGAAGGGAAGGGAAGGGAGAAAGGAAGGAGTAAAGGAAGAAAGGAAAAACACTATTGTCCTCTAATCTACTTCAGAACACAGAAAACTAAATGTGTGTCTCTACCAGATGATGCAAAATCTACACATTGAAGAGACTATTACATACATGCTGATAATATGGAATTCTCAAATGTGACAAAACAGACACAATTTAGAAGAGCCACAAGTTCATCTAACAATCTCAACAATGGTTATATAATAGTAACATGAGTTCTGCAAGGGGTTTCAAAGACAGAACATGATCATCTGTTGAGGTACCAGGAAGGTTACCTGGGGAAGCATTATATAATCCAAGTCCTGAAGAATGAAAAGAAGGAAGCCAAGAAAGAAAGGCAGAAGTGCAAGTAGCACAAGGGTCGGAGCTTCACACCTTTGCTTTTATACAGCATGACATTATGGTTATGATCCGTGAACAAACTGGGAAGAAGGCAAGGCTACCTGTTGATCTAGGATGCAGATGCAAAAACTGAAACACAAAATAAACAGCACCAAGCCCCTGTTCCACTACAGCATGAAATTAACATACCACAGTAAAAAAATAACTCTGGTACATTGGTTGTTTTAATAGTTGCAAATATAATGTGACTTTAAGAAAAGAAACTGGACTAAAAAAGCTCAAATCAGAAAATTTAATTCATCTAGTACCCAGAGATGACCTCTGAAAAATGTTCGTGTTTCTCTAGGGATGCAGGGATGGATACACTTAAAAATCTACAGTACTTTATAGAAGGAGAGAGACATTTTTGTACTTTCAAGTAACAATCAACCTACCTCTCTATGTGTTTAGTGTATCTGTATTTTCTTACTATATCCATGTTTTAAATGCTTTTTTAGGGACATAGGTTTATGGCTGAAGCATACTCCTATTATGTAACATACTAGGCATCACAATTGAACTATTTAAATCCTTCTTGTGTCAACAAGGAGGTGTTTTAACTGGTCATTCTTGTGATCCTACTTCCCCAGAAGAATGCTTACAACTGGAGAGGAAGCTGGTTCCCAAGCTGTACTATTCACACACTTCCATGGATTTTTTTTTAAAAAAAAATTATTTTATTGTAAAGATGCTGTACAGAGGAGTTACAGTTACATGAGTAAGGTAATGAGTACATTTCTTGTCAAGCATTTTACTCCCTCCTTTGTTTTTGTCCTACTATCCCTTCCCTCTCCTATTCCCTATTTTTGTTGGGTTCTATGGCTTGAACTCAGAGTCTGGGTGCTGTCCTAGACAACACTTTGAGTTTTTGTGCTCAAGGCTAGTGCTCTACCACTTTGAACCACAGCTCCACTTCTGGGTTTTTTGGTGGTTAATTGGAGATAAGAGTCTCATGGACTTTCCTGCCTCAGCTGGCTTTGAATTGTGATTCTCAGATCTCAGCCTCCTGATTAGCTGGATCACAGGCATGAGCCACCAGTGCCTAGCTCACAGCCATGTTTTATACCTGCTGTCATAAGTCACGAGCAGTGAGTCTTCAACCCTGGAAGTAAAGGTTTGTCCCCCCATGTAAACGTTCATAAGCCCAGGCCTAGATGTTTTGCCAACCCTCATGGACTAAGTCAGTGCCCATCAGGTTGTGTGGAAGCTGAGACTTTGGCCATGTGTGCTCCCTCACAGGTAAGCAATCAATGCTCTATTAGCATTGCCCAGATGCACAGGGCAATTCTCAATTGAAGTGGGTCCTATGCACACATGAACTTGAAGTTCATAGTTGTTCGGTGAGCACAGCTATTCTTAATCTAGTTACTTGTTCTCCCTTTGCCTCCACACTCTTCTTCCAGCCTTACTCTGAAGCCACGCATTTACTCCCAAATGCAACTTGGTTGATGGTACCACATGGTAAGCCATGTGAAGACTTCTTGTGAGGTCGAAAATGTTCACATTAATTTCATGGTGACCCATATCAGTAATATGATGAGAAAGGCAGATAAATTTTTATTGCATCCCTCTCACTAACATCCTCTTGTCATTTTTTATTAATAATCATTTCTCAAACATCTGACACTCACATGCAAAGGTGCAAATGCCGAGCTATAAACCAATGTGGACTCTTCTCTATTACATTTCCTATATAAAGGTTGTGAAAATTTAACTGATTCATCCACATTGTGTGATATTTAAGATATCCTAGGTTTTATGATTTTATAGTGGCAAAACATTTGCAATTTGCAAAACGTCAAGCTAATCCATCAAAATACTGTACACATGTTCAGTTTCCCTATCTCTCTGCATAGACTCTCATGTCAACCTAGGACGAATGACCTTTATTTATTTATTTGCTAATTTACAAATGTGTTAATTTACAAAAGCATAAGTGAATACTCTGCACCCACAAGCATTCCTCCTTTCCATCAAAATCCATATCTTAGAACAGAGCCTGGTGGCTCCCATCTGTAACCCTCTCTACTCAGTAGGCAGAGATTGGGAGGGTCATAGTTTGAGGCCAGCATGGGCGAATGTTAGGACAAATCCATCTCAACAAATGAGCTGGCTGTGGTACATGCCTTGTTATCTGAGTTATGCAAAATGTAAAATGAGAGGAGTGACGTTCAGACCAATCCAGGCCAAAAAAAAAAAGCAAAACAAGACTCAATATGAAAACATAGCATAAGCAAAAATGGTCTGTATCATGGCTCAAGGGGTAGAATACCTGCCTAGCCAGTGTGGGACACTGAGTTTAAGTTCCAGAACCACTACAAAACAGCATACCTCAGTATAATTGTTAGTCAAGGCTTTACCTTGCTCATGTACTATTTCCTTGTAAGGTACACTGATACCTGTCTCCAGGCCTATATGGGATTTCTTGCCACATCTGCCCACAAATTACAGCCTGGACTCACAGATCTTTCCTTTCTTTCCTAGGAGCATGCAAACCTTGGCTGGAAATATGGAAATATATTCTCCTTTCTCATACCTCCTTCTGGAACTTACATCTGCAACTTATGGATGCTTCCTATCTCAGGCAGGATGGGCACAGGAAACACTGATGGATAATGGTTTGGGAGCTATAAATCTACCAACATCAATGAAATAACCACTTTTTTTCTTTCTTTCTTTCTTTCTTTCT